TGCAGGTAAATGATGTGGAAGGTGGAACGTACGTGTATAGCCTGCTGAAGTTTATCGGCACACACTTTCACCAGTATCGATTACTCAGTTTGCTTAGATTTAAAGGCATTTTGATCTAATAATTCTATTTACTGGAACCAAACAACACAAACTCGAGTAAATTAGTTAAGTTAATACAGAAGAGGCTGACAGAATTTATTATTGAGTTGTTTGTTCTCAAAGGCAAAAATAGTACTTTATTATCGCCCTATCATAATAATTTAGAGGTTTCGTAAGGGTACCTTCATTTCACACTCCCGTAAATCACGTTTTTGTTTGTCGGTGGCAGTCCTTTGTTTTGGACGAGAAATAGCCGGAGCCGGTCTATGTAGATATTTGTCTATTATTTGGTACACATACGTTCATGAAGTTCCGTTTGCTTTGTGTGTTTGTGATTACATATAGCCAGTTAATGAGACTGTGGGTATCAATGGTGGCCATAACGAGTCATATGATTACAGTTCCCGTAGTGTAAATATGAAGAATGTAAGCTCGCCAGTATTGTTTCATTTTCCGTTGAAATTAGATGGTATTTTACTTTAAAACGACTACGGAGAAGTCGGAATGGTGTCACTTTTCATGTACGTACGTAATTTTATTTATTCGTTTTACTTTGTACGATGTGTTTTGAGTTGTTTGGGGATTTCGTACGTTTTATTTCTATCGTTTATTTTATGAGTAGGAGGTGAATAAGTATTCCCTTAAGCTCGTTTGTTGTAGCACTTTATGAGTGAGTTCCTTAATATTTTAGCAGTCTAGTTAACTGTTCCCATAGGGTTTGTTTTTTGGATAAAAGCAATAATGATATTGGTGTTTATTGGTCCAGAACTTTTTTCTGTTGAATGGCCTATTTTGTGACATCACGTTTTTTCAGATGATGTAGGTAGAGGCGTAGGTTGTACTTATGTACTAACATTTAGTTTATTCTGAAGTTGTTTCATTTAGTGTTCGTTCCTACTTATTCGGCAATCGCCAAATGCTGTGACCTCTCTCTATGTAAGAGGTGCAAAATAATAAAAAGATACATCAGTCAGAAAAATCAATGGCTGCGAAAATGCTAGTATTAAGTTTTATAGCATAATATACTTTTACTTAGGTTTTGTAACGAACTAAAACTTAATGTCCTGAAAATCGTATTTTTGTGTGATGTGAGCTTTGTGAAACAGCATCCATATTTTATTTGATTTTTAATTTGTGTTCTTTTTTATATTTGATGGGGCGACGTTTGACCACTATCTCGCCTGGTGGTAAGCGATGATGCGGTCTACGATGGAGCACGTCATCCCATAAGCAACTTATTCACTTAATAGATGTAATAATTTGTTCTTTTAACACAGTCATGTTTATCAAATGCTTTATCTATTATTAACATTATTTACTTTAAAACATTAAAGAATTTGGGCATCTTCAATTGCTGGAACAAAATACTAAAAACAAAACTAAATGCTTTTTCCCAAAATATCTACCTGACCTACACGAAACCCATTAGTCAGAAGTACCGCGACACGGGTGAAGGTACTTCAAATTACAACACAGCACATTTAAAGGGACTTTATGCAGGAGTTAATATAAACAGTCTACCTTCTTCAGGATTTTTCATCGCCCACACATGCCACCGCTAAAAGCCATTAATCATGTTGATAGCAAAATTAAGATTTAATCCGCAAATTCGAATTTGTCCGACACAGCTGTCGGATGATAATCCTGAATTACGCAAGTCTCTCGGCAAATTTATTTTTAATGCAAATAAATACAGATTCGTCGCACCTGCCTGTCTAGATGTAGCGAATAATTAAGCAAAACATGAAGCGAAATAATACAAATTACTTTGAGACTTAACTCGACTTTATTTTACGAGAATACATTATCTACTCTAAGCGGATTATTTGACAATCTTGACATACTATATTACTCAGGCGTAAATTAATACTTGGGTTGTGTTTTGTATTTCTTGAGCGAGTGGGGAATTTTGCAGTTATTAAAGTCGGAGTCTTTTCTACCTGTTTGTTTGTTTATGTGGGTTTCCTGTGACAAGGGTTTGATTGAGTGCTTAGTGTTAGAATGTAAATCTTCTTCATACTAGTCTCTGTTATTAAGCCAAGAAGGCTAAGAGCTGGGTGTAAATCTTGTAAGCTTGTAGTCGCGTCGCTGGAGGAAGGCCCGGGATAAGTGGCAGCAACATTTGGCTATCGTGTAGCGAATAACGTGTACATTATGTAGGTTAACTTGTAAGAGCTGCATCTATAGCTTTTTGAGGTACAATGCTTTAAGAACATGGTTTAATGTTGACAACTTTTATGAAATATTGTGTAGACAATAAGTTTGAGAATAAACATGAGATAATTATTGAAGTACAAAAAACAGTTCGGAAAGGAAACGGTTTTAAAACAACCAACTGGATTGTGTTTCGATTTTGTCGACATTTACAACCATTGGAGAGTTTCGTGTAATAATTCTAGGCGTGTGAAGCCACTGGCAGACTAGTATACTGTTTTTTATTTGTTATCTAACGGGAATTGAGTCCTCTACATCAGACAAAAATAAAATGGCTGCTGTATAACAAGTTTCGATAGAGAATTATTTCTCCAGGCCTATACATTAATGCGATCGCGATGAGGTAACAGATGATTGAAGCCTAGGATTGCGTAGGAACCATTGTATAGCTAATAATAGTTTTTATTGTACCTATCTCTCTTCGCCCGGGCATTTTATCGTTTGTTCACAAAACAGTATAAGATAACAGATTTTCTTTCTTGGAGCGGGAGATACCGCAATAATATTCAGAAGAAATATAATCTTGGAATTGTCTGGAAGCGGTGTTGTTTTCTCAGAAATATCACGACGTGATTGCAAACGGCTCGAGGTCGTAATTGCTTCTTCCGCCTCTTGACATCATTATCTTTGCCATTATGCACCAAGCTAAGCTGCGACGGTGCCTCCGCCTCCACAAACCTTCCATAAATTTATTATTGTACTTAAAATTTAATCTTGCGCCTTCTGCTACCAATATTCTGGTCAATTCTTTTGATGTATGACGTAAAACGTTGATGTCTGGTTTCTTCAATTCAATTTGTTTTACTTAACATTTACGTTTAACATAGCATCTCGCGTTTTATTCCCTGTTGATGGAGATAGACACCCACTTTTTAAGATTTCTAGATTGGATATTTGATACGGGCCTTTGTGTATAAATCGATAAGTAATCATAAAAAGAGTTTTACCTCTATTGTATGAAGTCTCAAAACTACAAAAGCTTTAATAAATTTTCCGCGAAATGTGGCTTTGATTTCCCGTCAACGCCTGTCCCCTCAGACAGTATAACGACATTTAAATCGGACATTATCTTGCCGAAGCCAGCTTGTCAATTAGTGTAAGTCTACAACGTTCAAGAAATAATTGGCTAAATAATAACACAGAATGAAAATACATCAATCGCTTAATTATCCGTCCATTTTATCTGACAATGAATTTTTATACCTCCATCGTTTGAATAGTATTCATTAATATTTATGACTAAAACGTTTCTATTTCTAACTTCATTGACTGTTACAATATCCACGTCGGCAATGTTAGTAAAAGCTTTTTTGACGCGGCTCGATTTATCACAAAACCACTGATTAATCACCGAACGTTCGATTTTTTATTCAGCTCCTGTATAACATTAGAAAATTGAATAAATCGTTTGAACGAAGATTTCCCTCTTATTCCTAACAATACAAAATAAAGAAAGATATTAATAGGGGTTTCATATCATAGGCTGATCGGGTAGGAATGCAGAGGGCGTACGCACATGTATTATTACCAATACGTGTAGCTTGGGAACTGTTAGATATGGGAGAAAGCCCCATGGACTTGAGAAGAGTGAGTAGTCACTTTCCATTTCGTATAAACTCAATTACTGTTCATTTTATGAGTCGATTGCAAGTAAAGAGCTCAAGGTAAGTTACTTGTATTTAATAACATTTTAAGAAACTATCCTCCTCGGTTTTCTAGCAAGCGTGACTGTTGGACAAGAAGTTTTAAAGTTTTTTAATCTCCGTTTTTGAGTTATGCATAAGGTATAAAGTTTGGTTTATGAAATACTACTTTGTCTACTTACTAGAAGAATTTAGGTACAGTTTACGAAGTGGCATGATTTCCATAGAATTCATCTACCTCTAGAACAAGCAAAACAAGGATTCCAATAATAGTTTTCTGAAAACCCTAGATGTTATCTTACCCAGGTCGGTAATCCGGATGCTTGAGCAAAAAGGAATGCTCTTCATTAATAATATAGTAAACCAAGCCGTAGCTGATACGTACTCACTAAATAATGGTCCTACGTTGTCAAATTATATAAATAAATTAAATTACTTGTAGAGCTCGCGTGATTTGTTCAAGCGCTGTTAGATTAATAAAGCCATTGTGAGGACGAAAAGCTTTATCATTTTCAACGAGTTATGTCAGATACCGAGTGTAGCCGAGCGCCTTTCGGAGTTTAACGACAAAAATTAGAGCATGCCATGAGATGAAAATGTGCATCTGTTTGTGGAATTGATCGTAAAAAATGTGCGCAGTATCAGATTGGAATAAAATTGGTGCGATTCGAAGCGGTAATAAATATCTGGCGCAGGCGTCGCGATACCGATGTAACGTGGGACAAAACTCGCTGCTTTCCTATAGATAAATCACCACAATATTTGCCTTTATCGCGTTTCATCTAGAAATCTGTTGTTGAAAAGAAAATGCAATTTCAAATGCCCTCTGTTGCTCAAGCAGGGTTTTAAGTCGTTTTTTTAATAAATATTTGCTTTAAGAAGCAGCCTAGTCTGTTTAATCACCTGACTTTACCGGTTGTTGCCTGTAGCGGTAACCTAACCTTGCATGATTGCTGGTCCAAAAAAGATGTCTCCATGTATAAGACTTTGAGTACTTTGAGTTCACTGTACGGTTGTTGCTGTGGCTGGGCAACCGTGTCGCGGGTTCAATTCCCGCACGGAACAATACTTTGTGTGACCCACAAATTGTTGTTTCGGGTCTGGGTGTCATTGTGTATGTGAACTTGTATGTTTGTAAACGCACCCACGTTTTTTTTAAAGTACCTATTTCTATCCTGGAGCTGTAGCCAAATGCCATTTAGCGCTTGTCTACATGTAGAATAGAAAACCAAATTATATGGAATTGACGTAAATTTTGATACTTGTCAGTGTCATCCCCATACATTTAGTTTTCTACTCTCTTTGTAGACAAGCGCTAAAGTGGCGTTTGGCTAAAGGCACTGAGTGGAGTGAACCTACTTTTAAAGTAGTTGATACGTAAATAATCTTATACCTAATTAAAATAAATGCATGTAAATTATAAATTAAATATCGCATACAATGTAACACTGTTTAACAAACATTATCCGAAAATACAAACAAAACCTGCACTGATGTAACAAAAAAAAAATAAACATAAAATTCACTATTGAACGTTCTACGAGATAAAATATAAATCAATAAATGAGTTATGACTTGACTGATAACTTTTTAACCCTAGTGCACAACAATGTAGTTGTTGCTGGTACGTTATCGACTGATTGATGACTCGTTATAGTGTTTACGTTGTGTGCAAAGTCATGATGAAGGTGAATTGATAATTCTATTATTAAGTTTACATAATGTGTATTACGCCTTATTTTTGATGGTGAAGATGTTTTGTAATACATTTATGTTTGATGTTCATAGCACAATATTTTGTTATTGTTATGAATCCCATGTAACGATGATGTATTCGGACGAACTACAATTCCAATAGATCAATTTTCTTGCTGAAAATATTAAACGAAATAATATCTTCTTTCCCTGAAATGAAATCTTTATAGGTATAATTGTTTTGTTCGATAGGTAATAGCAGTTACAACCGTTCGCCGAATGAGGTAATATGTAATATATATATATATGTATATATTTTAATGAGTAAGAAGTATAGGTAAAACACATTTCTTTATAAACATTTGTCACTAAATTACTCCACCCCTTTCATAAAATCTGCACTTCCCCGACCAGATTCATATTACCTAATCATTTATAAATCTCACCCCAACCTTTAAGGTAACTTGAAATAGCAAAGTTAAGCTATTGACTTTATTATTAAACGTTCTGAATTTCGGAGCGAGTCCAAGCTTGGTAGCAGTTACACCTCATCCATAAAGAATATACATACATACATAACATCATGCCTTTTATCCCCGAAAGGGTAGGCAGAGGGGCACATTACGGCACTTAATGCCACTGTAATGTAACACACACTTTTCACTATTTATATTACGAGTCCCATGTAATAGGGGGTGAGCCTATTGCTATATACCGGGCACAGTTCCAGACTTCGTGCTACCACTGAGAAAAACCCAGTAATACTTTGCCCGACCCGGGATTCGAACCACTCGGCCAATGAGGCAGCATAAAGAATATATAAAAGTTAAAATAGTAATTTAGTAATAGGAAGTAAAATGTACAGCGGTAAGAGTGTAGTATTAATGAAGCTAGGAAGTTTCAAGCGAGCCACGAGAAAATGTTGGAAAACTAGGAACGTATCCGCTCACCAAGTTTGTACAGACTCGGTGCTATTGCACTAATATGCTGAGCGATATAAATCCAGTCATGAAAACTCCCTCAACTTTAAACGCATAAATTATGAATCTGATTCCTTGAGAATAAAAGTCTTCGCTCAATGTTTGCAATGGAACTTAATGGTTTTATTCTGATTCAAGTGTGGCAATGAAAGTATTGCAAAGAGCAAACCTCGATTCATTTGTATTTAAAGTATTGGTTTGTAGAAGTGTAACTTTATTATTTGCTAAAAGCATACATACCGCCGTGAAATCTAAAATATATATTCGTTTTTCAAACTAATAGCAAGCACTTAAGCTTAGCTAATAAAAGTAATTCAAATGAAAATAGATTCTCATATTTACCACAATAAGACACTATTTTGATCACAATAAAATTCGGAACTGACTGCCTCGTTGGCCGAGTGGTCGCGAGTCCGAATGCCGAGCAAGGGGTCTCGGGTTCGATTCCCGGGTCGGCCAAAGTATTACTGGGTTTTTAAAATAATTCTCAGTAGTAGCACGGAGTCTGGAAATGTGCCCGGTATATGGCAATAGGCTCACCCCCTATTACATGGCACTCGTAACATAAATAGAGAAAAGTGGGTGTTACATTGCACAGTGGCATTATTTGCCGTAATGTGCACCTCTGCCTACCCCTTCGGGGATAAAAAAGGCGTGATGTTATGTGAAAATTCGGAATTGACAACCGAAAACTAAAAGACATAAAAGTTATTATGACATTTAGGTTTTATGAAAAATTTCAAACCTTTTCCTAAAGTACTAGCAGGTGGCTTTTAAATGTAAAAAGTTGATTGTTTTATGAATAACGTCCAGCCATTTGGTTCTGCCTAAAAGCAAAGTTACGGTCGATGTAGTCGGCACAAATGTTTAGACAAAATTAGCGGGAAGTTCGATACAATCGATGTGGTCTACAAATATATCGTAACCTGCCGAGCTCACTCATTCAAAAATATCGAAGAGATTTCATTAGGCTTTTTTTTTTTTTTTAAGGGGGACAATCATGGAATGACTGCTCCCGCCTGGGTGAGGCGGAAGGGAGTGTCAGACTCGTACTGACTAAAATCCACCCCGTTCCTTCTCCTGCACGTCGAGCCGGAGCCCCGGTTACTCATTAGGTTCTCCGCGACATTTCATTAGGCTAGTCGCAAACGAACTGTTTTATTGACTTTGATCAACATAAATATCTGCAACAATAACGATGTTAATTAAGCAACACAGTGTACACACGGAAATTAGTAGCAATATTAAAACCTGACTAAAATTGCATGTGTGGGTTAGGCCTTAAATAAATCCCGGTATTATTCGATTCTGTGTTATTTCCACTGAATTAAAATGAGCATTTGTTAGTAGTTACTTAATGTTGACGTAATTATCGAGTTCGTAATATTCGATTCGGTTTTGTTTAATCGATAGTATTATGTTGGCACACAATGAACGTCAGCTGTTTAAATAGAGTGTTTCAGTTCATTTTTACACAAAAGCCGGTTATTGTTGAAGAATGTAGGTGAAGGGGATACTTGTCAAGGATAATTTACGTAATCACCATTATGTGATAAACAAATTGTTGAATGGGTTATCTGATTACTATATAATAATAATATACACGTCGAATAACTCTGTGATTTAAATATTCAAGATATCTAATTCTTGTTTATTTAAAATGGTATCCAGGGTATGCTAATTGCAATACATAGATAACTAACGGCGTGGTCGCAAGTATGACTGCTTATCAAGGGGTCTTTGGTTCGATTTCCGGGTCGGGCAAGTGCTACTGGGTTTTAAAAAGAAATTCACTACTAGTACGGAGTCTAGAAATGTGCCCGGTATATAGCAATAGGCTCACCTCCTATTACATGGGACTCATAACATAAATAGTGAAAAGTGGGTGTTACATTGTCTAGCCCTTCGGGGATAAAAGGCGTGAAGTTATGTATGTAATAACTAACGAAATTAAGTTTACTTTTACATGTTATACTTACGCTAAATTAGAACTGATTTTTTTTCGAATAAGAGTACCTATTTTTGCTATACAGACGTATTAGCACAACGACTATTTGTGCCACAAGCAGTAAAACGATAATACCTAACTTCTGATAGCACTCAAGTTACTATACAATGCTTTATCAATGTTTTCGAAATTCAAATCTAACTACTGCAAAATCTATATAATATCTCACGCTTCGCAAAACAGTAAAACTATTCAGTGACAAAAATGGATTCACATTTATATACTCAGAGTACAAACTAGTTGATTAAACCAAAAAAGAATAACTCAATACAAAATTGGATATAAATAATATCAATGTGAAACAGACAGAAAGAAATTACCTAGATATATCGTACATGAAAAATAAATAGGATTATTTATATACACATTTCTTTTAGATTTATTGGACCGTGTAATGACGTAGCTTCTGTTGACCATACACTGAAATATATTAAAAAAAGTGATTGAATACATCGTAAACTTAAGACTGTGTTAACAGCGGTACTGGTCGGCTGGCCAGTAGGCTGCGCGACATCGACAGCTGCTCATGAGGACGAACCCCTCTGTGGTTCGAAACTAGTAGAGCTTTTCTCATTATATTCTCGTGAGTAACCCGCGTTTTTTAGTTAATTTAGTATATCTCACGATAGTTTTTATAAAAAAATTTGATAATTTGAATCACCTCTAAAACAGGATCTAGGATGCTTACGATGTAAAGTTGTCGTATTGTCAAATCCATAAAAAATGCGCTGCGAAGAGGAACTTTTATTAAATAATTTTAATGTATATAACATATGATCTATATCTTAACCTATGTCGATGGAGAAGTTTAGTCGAATCCAGTATCGATTCGGTTCCCGAATTAATGTCTGAGTACCTGTATGGAAAGCTGATGCATTTTTAACTCTACAGACCAAACAATATACATATGGATACCAAATGGTTCGGTTATAAACTATAAAATATGTATGTATAAATCGATAATCCCATGTTTACTTAGTGTTCCTCGTGTTTTTTTTTCATCCATATTTTTATTTTATGTTTTTTTTGCTCCGTAGTTACCATTTATTTGAGGTGGTATCTGTTACGTTGATGCAGCTTTAGTTTTCAAGTTATAAAGAAATGTTTCCTTAGACAAGCAGCAAGAGTCATGTTATGCGACGTGACGTCATGTAAAGGAACTATATTCAAAACGGCACGAGTGTAACGCCAAAAGTTTTGCTCGCCGAACTCGCGGCAGCAGGTAATTAAGATATTTAGAACTTGCACATGCTCCACATTCAAAACTTCTTTATGAATATTAAATACTTAGCCAAAAATCCCATTATTACTAAGAAGCCTTTTAGCGGAAAATCTATTTAACAAGTATAGTTGGAAACTCTGTTTAAGAACACTTTTCACACAAGTAAATATGATAGGAACACAAAGAAAATGACGGCATACATTACAACGACACGACCGACGCCTGAACTTTCAACAAAGTGATTTACCTTCAATATAAAGTGAACCACTGATTTACAACGACATGGTTCAACAAGACCACCCCTATTATTACCAACAGCCCTTTAAAAGTTCAACAATTGACATTTGCGACGAAGACACTATTATGGGGGCAATTCAAGTTTATTATTGAGCTATCAGCTTGGATGTCAAGATAGTGGATGATTGATTGTTACATATTAATATAAATCAGTAGCAAGGGTTCCGTCGGCCAGTTGTGTCTACAAAAACGGGGTAATAAGGAGGATTGGTGGTCTGTAAGGCGAG